TGGACATGTCCAAACCACTGTCCCTCCTCTGGACATGTCCAAACCACAGTCTTTTCAGTTCCTGCAGATACACGATGCTAAAGAAATCAAACACATTTAAACTATTGTATTTTATTCAGTTGTGACGGTTCTGAATGGGTTTCTTTGTTGCCTTTAAAACGGAACCAGCACACTTGCTCTATAAATCGTAACATTTCCTACCATGTTTGTTTGTTTCCTGGAGGTCTCTTAGAACTAGAGACGGGGCAGGAGGCCTGAAACTGAAGCAGGACCGCCCGCCCCCTGGTGGCTGCTTCCAGCAACAGTTTTAGGCTCCTCCCCTCCATGTGAATAAACAGGACGTTTTATCAAAGAAAATCTAAAAACATTCTTTAGATTATTTTTTGCAGGTGTTGAATTTTGTTGATTTAACGACTTTGGTCCTTGTTACTGCATGTTTAATTAAAAATAAACAATTTAAAAATTACACATTTAAGTTGTTTGACTGCTGAGTCAGCCATTATTTGGCTGTTTTATAGTTTATGCAGTTTGTGCAGTTTCTGTGTACTTGGTGTAAAGATAGCTTTCCTGTTTCAAACTATGAGCTCCTTCAGTAGACGTGCGCAATGAATTTTAGTTGTTGTAACTTTAATACATTTTAATTAAAACTCAAATATACTTAGAGAAACAATAAGACCTCCTTAATTCCTTTAAAAGCACTTTTAAAATATGTTGTGAGTGTAAATTGAAAATTAAGCGAGGTAGCAAGTGCTGAGTCAGCACCTTCATAGGGGGCCGAGGTGTAGAGGCAGAGCAGCCGACTCGGGACCCGAAAGTCCCAGGCTCGAGTCGACTCCCAGTCATTCCCACATGTTGTGGTGTCTCTGAGCAATTCAATTCAATTCAAAAATACTTTATTAATCCCAAAGGGAAATTAATTGTTGTTGTAGCTCTTCTTGGTTTCATTAGAGTTGTTATAGATGCTGATGGCTTTGGGCAGGAAGGATCTCTGGTAGCAGTCCGTCCCACAGCGGACTTAACTGCCGGTGTCGGGGGACGGTCTCGGTCCTCTCACTGTCACGAGCCGCGTTTCCCACCACCTCCAAGATCTCGGCAGTCAGGCACTTGAGCACGGCCTCCAGGTAGACGGGAATGCATCCACGGCACCTCCTTTTCAACTCCTTTTGGATTTGGGGTTGTAGTTGACGTATTATTTGAGCTTTTGAGATGTTAATCAGCAGCTAGTAGAAAACCACCTTGTTGCCATGGTTACGCATCATAACAAATGTCCAAAAGTAAAAAAGTTTCAGTAAAAATCCTTCCAGCTGCTCAGCATCTGATACCAGAGGAAGCGATCATCAAGACACCCAATCCCCTATTGCTCCGCGGGTGCCTACATAGCTGCCCACTGCTCCACCTGGGTGCGTCCCAGCTGTGATGGGTTTAACACAGAGACTAATTTCACCGTTGTATGGGAACATACAACACACAGCACATTACTGTTATTCATGCATTTTGACAGAAGCAGTCGTTCATTTAGTTTCTATGAGTTTGTTTTCTTCAGGAGGACATTGAAGCCTTCAGTTCTGTTTCCAGAGATAAATCTCAGCTCTAATGTGACAGAAGTCTGAGTGTGAACAGGAAGACCTACCTTCTGAGTAATGTGAAAGAGTGAGCAGGCTGACACATGACGCTCCAGCACCAGAACCAAATATGGTCACTCTCTTGGGATCACCTTTAAAGGCCTGGATGTTCTCTTTGATCCACCTGAGAGCCTGGATCTGATCCAGGAGACCATAGTTCCCCTTGGCCGCCTGGTCTCCTGTACTTAGAAAACCTGGAGTGAAAAACCAGAGAGAGAGAAACAAAGACGGGAGTTTTACCTTTCAGCTGTTTTTACAACAGAGCTGGACATCAAGTGTTTGCTTTGAAGCATCTTAAAAAGGTTAGCCCCAGATCAAATCAGAGAGCAGACATAAACTGGTGCCCCTAAAACACACCACAGTGAGGAACAAGTCCAGTATGAGAACATTTACAAGGTTCCCATTGTCAGATTCTATACTTTTACTAACATTTTCAAAGTTTTCTGTCAACTGTTGGGGCATTTTTCATGTTTAAGGGAATAGTTGGACACCTAAGTCAGCTCATCTGGTGTCTCTCATTGCAGAGAAGCAGCAGCTCCACTCTGCTCTCCCCCTGAATGATGGCGCTCCACGGTCTGCTTCTAAGGCTGAACCGGGCCACCTTATGAAAGAAGCTCATTTCAGCTACTTGGATTTTGTTCCTTTGGTCCCAATCCAAATTTCATGACCACAGCTCATGCCCTGAGTGATCCATCACTGCTCCATCTTTCATCCCTCATGAGCACACCACCTTTTCTGATTGAGAACCTTGACTTTAAATGTAGAGAAGCTGACTCTCTTCCCAGCCACTTCACAAACCATCCCAGTGAACACTCGAGGTCATTGTATAAAGATGCCAGTAGAACCAATGAATCTGCAAAAAGCACCTGAAGAACCTGAAGTTACCATACCAAACCCCTCTTCTCCATGAGTGCACCTTGAAACGCTGTCCATGAACACCACCAGATGGACTGAAGGTCGGGGACAGCCTTGGTGGAAAAACACCCCCCCAGAGCTATTGTAATGTTAATTCACGTTTGATGGACTTTTTATTTGAAGGGGTACATTGAACAAAGGACAAGCTTTCTCAAGTTCAAAGTCCCTTCTTCTTTGTACTTTGGGGAACAAAATAAGTTTCTGTAAATGTCCAAAACTAAGAATTTAAAAGAACAAGAACAAAAAAACACACCACTGATGTGCGGTCAGGGGAGGCAGTGCCTCACCTGTCATCATGACAAGTAAAATACTTATAAGAGATAAAACATTTGACCACTTGACTGTTCTATAAAACACTTTTATAAAACTGTTTTCTGAATTATTTCAACTCATCAACGGTCATAATTGCAGAATTTACGCATCAACTGTTCAAACCAGCTGCTTCAAATGTTATCAGCACATTAAATGGTCATTATTGGGGACACACCTGGGAAGTGAGTCTACATTTCTATCTCTGTTAATGCGACCCGAACCACAGTGTCTACCCCACAAAAGTTATATCAAAACGACTGGCTCGGCCCCGTGATGTGTGCTATTACTTTTATTGGCATTTCAACTTACCATGGCGACGTAATTTGCGAACAAAGACGCAATATTTCACCAACTCCAGGAACTAGTTGGTGACTGCTCACTTGTTATTCTACACCTGAAAAACATGTCTTTTTCAACTTTAATGCGGCCCGAACCGCAACGTGGACCTCCACAAAAGTTATATCGAAACGACCGGCCCGGCTCTGGGAAGTGTGCAATTACATTCATTGGTATTCGCCGTTACCATGGCGACATATTTGGCTAACAAAGATGCCAAATTTCCCATAGGAAATGAATGGGAGAAAACTCTTCACAGAAACTGAGTAACGTTGGGAGCCATTTTGGTTCAACATGCATGGAAGGCACCTATTATTACCTATTATTACCTATTATTATTATTAATTAGTAATGTAATGTAATTTCTTCCAACTGAGGCGGCTGTCTAAACTGAAGCCCATACTGTCCAAAAAGAACCTGGAGACAGTAATACATGCATTCATTACATCTAGGCTTGATTACTGCAATTCACTCCTGTTTGGTATCAGTCAGACCTCCATTGCACGACTACAACTGGTCCAGAATATAGCAGCCCCATTTTTAACCAGTACAGGCAAAAGAGAGCACATTACACCAGTTTTGGCCTCACTGCACTGGTTACTGGTTCAATTTAGAATCCAGTTCAAAATACTCATGTATGTCTACAAATCACTGAACAGTGTCGCCCCCCCATCTCTCTGATCTGCTACAACTGTATGTCCCACCACGCTCCCTGAGGTCAGCGGACCAGTTGCTCCTCACAGTTCCAGGAACTCGTCTTAAGCGCAGAGGTGACAGGGCCTTCTCTGTAGCAGGACCAAGACTTTGGAACGAGTTACCTCTGCTTGTCAGACAGGCCCCCTCCCTCTCGGTTTTCAAGTCCCGTTTAAAAACTCACTATTCAGAAGCTTTCAACACCAGATGATCTGTGTTTGATCCTGTATGCTCCACACTGGTTTGTCGTCATTATCTGCATCGTTTTTATGTCTATATTCTGATTTACCTCATTTTGTATTTTGCTTTGTGTGTTACCTGTTGTTCTGTCTGTACAGCACTTTGGTTGGTCTTGTTGCTGTTTTAAGTGCTCTATAAATAAAGTGGTATGGTATGGTATGGTATGGTATGGTATGGTATGGTATGGTATGGTATGGTATGGTATGGTAGGGTAGGGTAGGGTAGGGTATGGTATGGTATGGTATGGTATGGTATGGTATGGTAGGGTATGGTATGGTATGGTATGGTATGGTATGGTATGGTATGGTATGGTATGGTATGGTAGGGTAGGGTAGGGTAGGGTATGGTATGGTATGGTATGGTATGG